CTTTTCCACGAAACGCAAAAACGAGATACACAGATACGTTAGCTTGATGTACATCTAACCAAATTATTATTCCGTGTTATTCAGTCGATATTTGAGTAATATTCGAAAAGATTGTAACAATTGTACAATAATTTTACGATAATTTAATTATTAAAATGGTTATTCGGTTTTTCTTTTCAATTGAATGTTTATTCATGTACTTTATTCTGATTAATGTTTAACTTAACTTATACCATTTCACCAACGCACGATTTTAAAGATACTATAATAAAGAAAGAAAGTACAGAATGAAATTTATTATAATGAATCTATAATTCGTAATTCATTATAATTATTATATAATTTAATACAGAATAAAATGTACCGATAAGTTTAAAATTTATGAAACGCTCTCTAAATTTCATTGTTGTATGTTTCAAAATCAACGAAGTTCTGGCAAATTTTGCGAGTCAATGTTTGCTCATTAATTCTTGCATACTCATTCGATAAATACATTCAAGCTAAGGGAATATTCAAATCAATCTGAATGTAGTATAATTTGCACGCATATATAAAATATTCAATGAAGAGCACGAATAACCGTTTTAATAATTAAATCATTGTTAAATAATTTCAATGACGTATAATTTCTTCAAACGTTATTTGAATGAATAACTTGGGATAATGTTTAAAAACAGTTACGTCTACAGAAAAGCAAGAAATTTTAAATATCTTATAAACAATAATTTGTTTACTGCTTATAGTTAAAATTGTTATATAGATTTTTAAAAAACGACCAGAATCATAAAGTTTCATTCAATCATAAAGTTTATTACTAATTATATACTAATTATATACTCAATTATTATACTAAATATAATGCTATATTATTATATTTAATAAAATTATATATATTATTATATTTTATAAATATAATACTATATTATTACTATAATCAAAGTAGGTTTTATTCGCTTTACCGTCCATGTAGTAATTTTATAGAGAATTTCATAAGATCGTGTTTTCGGTTTACTTAAATGTTCTTTTAAACAAACGTAGGAAACATTTAGATTATTTAATATATAATATAATTAAAATTTAATATATAATATTATTATATTATATTAATATGTAATACCAATTTAATTTATCCACTAAAAATTTAACTTAATTATTCACAAAATTTTAAAAGAAATGGTCTAATTCTAATAAAAATTCACAAAACGTGCGAAATATTCCTTATTTCTAGTTTAAGTTTTGAAATTTTCGATTGATCGTAAATATACTAGCACTGGCACAAGCTTCCAGTGTATTAACTTTCATCAATGCCTGGATATATTCAATCTTTTCGCACGAAGCGTCACGAAATATAATTGAAACAGGAACAAGCGTATCTTTCGTTTCGTTTGGTCAATCTTTTTCAACGAATAATTCATCAACTTCGAGTGACGAAATTACGCGCAGCAACTCCGTTTCAAGAATTTCTTGAATTTCTGAAACTGACGGTCAATTGTTGCCACGCCACGTTGCATTTCGGTGTTAAACGGGGAGGCACAGCTAACAGTGGGTGATTTTCACGAGCTCGTGTACGAGAGGGCAAGATATCGAACAGTCAGCTCGTAATCAACTCATAAAGGCAGTTAAACAGAAATCACGAGACACCGTGCTCGTATCTCTCCGCGGCTACTTTTGTTATGACCGTGCCCAGCTACTACCACGATGACGCGTGCCTTGCCTCGTAATTCCGAATTACGTCGGAGAATTCGTGTCATGCTCGCTATGCACGCTGCTCGTTCGAATTAGCGAACCGTGCAACTCGTGGCCAGTGTCGTTTCGATCAAAATTAGAGATCGAGGATAATTAACAGGAGAATTCTTCAATCTATGGAGTCGCGATCATTAAGAACGATCGTTTCAAACGGTATTTTATTCGATAGGTTCTTCTGGCAACGGAAAATTTTAATTCTCTCTTCGGTTTTTTTCTTGAAGCAAAAATATTATGAAACAGCTAGCTTCGAAATTTCGTTTTCATTTCAGTTGATCAGAGGGTTGGAAAGTTTCTGTTGATAATTTGACAGTTTTGGAAGTTTCTGTCAATTAAGCAGATTTTCAGAAATTTTAATTGTTGCAAAAATGACAGTTCACGGTGGAAAAGTCTGTTTTTATCAGTAAGTATTAACTTCGAATGTTTGTGAATGATTAAATAATTGAGATAATGAATTTAATGTAAAATCAATGATAGATATTAATTTGAAGAAAGATTGGAATGCAAAGCTGGAAATTACGTTTATATACCTCGAGAAAATTGGAGTTTTTAATTTAATAATTATTAATTCATAATAAATAATATTTAGTTTAGAATTTATATCGAGCAATTTTATTTATTTTTTGACGAGTTAGATCAAGAAATCTGAGAATAGAAATGATGAAAGATTTATATTGACGCTAAATATTTGGATATATTTTTAAATTATTACAATATCATAAAATACAGTTAATAAACCTGCTTAATTTAATTTTAACACACACAGTTAATGATAAACGTAATAAATACAATAATTGAGTAACTTTAAGTATATTTGTTCATCATTGAAATTGTAGAACGACTGAAATCTATATTTCTAACCACTTTGAAACAGTTTGTATAGATTTTATTAAGCACCAGCTATTTATTACAAATGAGTATGAAATTTGGAAGTGCAGAAAATTAATTGTAGAAAAACTGTTCGTCAATAATAATTGTCGAGAAGTAACAAAAATGGAATTGCACAAATTGCGATCCATGTACAAAGTTCATGAATTGTACAATAATATCAATATTAAAAATTTTAGGACGAAATCGATGAAAAACGGTTTTACTTTTATGGAAATAATGGAATTTTATTAAGTGAATAAAGAGCGTTGACTCTGACGACACGGTACTCGATAATCAGTATAATCATCCAAATACGAATAAAACAAAAAAGGAAAATAGTTCACTGAACGTCCAATTGAGTTCCAGTATCTGTTATGAGATCAACGAAGCCAATGTCTCCCGAGAGGAAGCACTTAACACAATCACCGTATTCAGGCCACAAATGGGTGTTTAAACCCGTATCGGAATTCGTGTCGTTCCAAATTACATCGTCGCGTGCAACAGCCGCCAAACTCACTTTCGGAATCCGGTCAAAAGCGACACAGCTTTACAGCGATCCAGCGAACGGTGATTTGAATTTCCCTGCGAACTTCGTTCGACGAAACGATCATTAGTCTTCTTCTTCGTATCGACGTTCCCGTGTAAACTCGCCCATTCGTGCATTCATAGGTTCCTAAATTTGTTTACTGATATCCAAACTTGTTCAAGAGATAACGCGTTGGATAGGTACTTTCCTTGGAATCCTCCATTTCTTACCAGCATTCGCGAGACATGTAATAACAGCGGATTTTTTTTAAAAATGAAAATTCATATTTTTGAGAATTTAATTTAAGAAAATCAGACCGAAAATCACTGTCGAAAATTGCTTTCCCTTTCTTCCTTTAACTCTGTGAGCTACAGTGAAGAAAACAATTTATATATATATATGTAGAAATTAAATATAAATAATATTTATTTAATAATAATTAAACAAGGTAACGAACAGAGATTAATAACTAATATACGCAGTCACAACTCAAATAAATTCTTTTCTAACAACTCATTCTTTTTTAACAACTCTCGCTTTTTCACAATTCCAATGAATCTCTGTTTCAACAACTCGCTCGACTGTCTTCTTGTTTTTTTTTTTTTTTTTTAAAAACGCCTTCGCGTTTCTCCCACCACGTTCATACTTTCTTTCTTTTCGTGCATTCCTACATCTAGTACAATTAAACGCAACTAAAGATACAATAATTACAACTACAGGTTAATAACTCGATAACGACCTACATATATATACGATATTACATACTTAATGCGAGTTTGTGACACTCTCAATGCACTGGAGGGGATAGCGCTAGCGATTAAGAGAAGTAGGGGCAAGGGCCGCCAGTTAGCCACCTTTACGCACGCTGTTGAAATTCGCGCAGACAATTTTCGGATAACCAAAATCTCGAATGAGATTCAATCTTCCAATGAACCAGCAGAGTCTTGGTCCTCTTGCTGGCTTTTCTGTTCGGAAATATCGTGACATAAATCAGGGCCCAGTGTTGAAATTCCCGAACAAATGTATCAAATAGCAAAAGTATTAAAATATTAAATACAAAAGTATTAAATAGCATTCGAAGAAAATATATATATTTAAAATATATTTTCTTCGAAAATTTTGCATTCGTTCTAGCAAACATAGTACGTAACCGTGCTGGTATATAATCGCAATAATAAATTAAAATATTCAGTATAAATATCCTACTATTCATTCTATAATTAATGTAAATAATATTATAAATATAAATAATAAAATTATATTAAGTACATAATAAAAATTTATATATTTCAAATATAAAATTATAGGAGTTAATAAAGTAATTTCAATATCAAAAATTAAAAATAATAATCTAATTTAAAAAAAAAAGGTATTGAAAATATAATATAAATTTTGAAACTGAATTAAATCCACACTGAAACGGAATTTCTTTTCTAAATTGATTTTTTTATTTATTGAGAAAAATTTATTTAAATTAAAAAATTATATTATAACTATATTATTATATTATAATTATATTATATTATATTATTATAATTATATTATTATATTATTATATTATAATTATATTATATTATATTATTATAATTATATTATTATATTATTATATTATAATTATATTATATTATATTATTATAATTATATTATTATATTATTATATTATAATTATATTATATTATATTATTATAATTATATTATTATATTATTATATTATAATTATATTATATTATATTATTATAATTATATTATTATATTATTATATTATATTATTATAATTATATTATTATACTATTATATTATAATTATATTATCATATTAATAATAATTGAAATTAATATAACATGTGTTGGTTTTTTTGCAGGAATGCCGGGCAAGAAGAACACGATAACGTACCAATGCTGCCCGGAACCTTACGTCGACGTCACCTTCACCATACAGATTCGCAGGAGGACCCTGTATTATTTTTTCAACCTGATCGTGCCGTGTGTCCTGATATCAAGCATGGCCCTCCTGGGCTTCACCCTGCCGCCAGATTCCGGGGAGAAGCTCACCTTAGGTAACGTAACTCGTAGCATGCCTTGCCTGCCAGTATTACACCAGCCAGACAGAAAAAAAAAAAAAAAAAAAAAAAAAAAGATACTACACCTTGTTCTATCTCTACTTTCGTTTACTATTTCTTTCGTTGGTTCTTTCGACTGTCACACAAAACACACACATACACACACGTACGATATGTATATCTCTGTCTGTCTATCTATCTATCTATCTCTCTTTCTATCTGTCTATCTCTCTTTGTATATTGTATGTATGTACACATACACTTTGGAGTCTTGCGACTGGTTTGATTGATTTAGTCGGATTATGTTTCTACGATGTTGTTGTTGAACCACCGTTGTTGACCACATTGTCGCCACTGAACGCTGACTATCCCGCGTTTCTTTTTGTTGCCGGACGTCAAGAAGAGGAAGTCGGGGCACGCCGCGAACGAACCGATGCGTACTCCATTGTCGCGCAATGGGCCTAAATTTCGAAAATTTAGCAATTCAGCCTATTTAAATAGTTGTAACAATCGTGGGGATTTCTGTATCGATAATTATTGGATTTTTGACAACAATTTGACGATTTTTGTATCGCTGCCATTGTAATTAATAATTTTCATCGAAAAATTAATCGGAGAATATAAGATCAATTGTTTCAGGCTATTCTTAGCTGTTTAGATGGTAGTGACAATTTTGAGAATTTTTGTACTAACAATTATCGTTGCATTTAATAATTTTTGTATCGAAAAATTAATCGAAGGATGTAGGATTAATTATTTATTTATTCTTCCAAGTTTAGATCATCGTGTTAATTATTTATTATAAATATCATTTTTTATACATTACTGTTTAATCATTTATCAATTACAAATGTTTATGCTGAAAAATAAATCGGAAAACAGAAGATCAGTTCTATAATAATATGTAATAAAAGCAGTAATTCTCGAGGAATATTTAACCGTCAAAGTATTGCAAAAGTAATCAATACTACGATCTCAAAGATATATTAGCATTTATGTTGTTCAAATTCATTGGAGGATTTTTAATACTACTGAACTGATAAATTTTCGACCATAAATAAATTACTGGCCATTGCGCGTTATTTCGATTTCGCAGTAATTTTTTTCGAAATTAAAGTTTTACAAACTGTCCTTTCAATTCTCTTCATACAGCAGGAGTATTAGGCGCAAGTGAAAATAAGTAAAAGATGTTTAAAAAAGTTCCACTATAAATCTTCTATCATACAGCAAATATTGAACGTAAAATAAAATATACACATGACAACAGATTACAAATACAATCGATTCAAATGCTTAAATTCTTCATTCAAGATACAATCATCCAATGTCAATATTGATATTGATGTTACATTAAGAAATGAGCTATTAATTCGTTGTATCAATTTTTCTATTTTTCAATTACAGTATCATGTGCAGCTTCTAAAATGTATTTGGATATTTATGAAAATTTTTAACGAACATATTACATTGTATTGTATGAAACATTTTAAACATACAAAATTTAATAAATGAAACTAGATAATTAATAAGTTACAATATTTAATCTTTATTTGATCTTTGACACTAATTATGTGCTTCCGTAATTTTTATTCAACATATTTACTTTCAAATTAACTTCAGACATTAAAATTACGATAGCCGTATCTAATTGCAGTACTCGTGAAACTCCAAAAACTGTTGTCCAATATTATATTCATAAAAGTGTTCCAAATAATTCCTAAATCACTCTTAACACACAAATAAAATATCTGTTCGTCTCATAACTTTGCCCTGTAATTTCGTATGTGATAAATTTACAACGTTCGTATATTTCTTTGCCTCTAATTTAAATCCATTAAGTATAATTATAAATAAAATTATATTTCAGGCTTACGTTACAATTATATTTTATTTTAAAGTTAAAATGATACAATTAAATATATTCCTGCAGTATGACGAGACGGCATCGCATTAAACAAATGTGAAAATCGATTACCGCGAGATCGCAGCGACACGTCGCATCCGTTCGCCAGCGTCGAGGCTCGAAAGTCGGGGCCGACCCACCGATGGTGTTCGATCTCGCAGACAGCCGGACGACATTGCGAATACAACACGTCGGACGACATATTCGACGTTTCCCCCACGTCGCGGTTCCAACTCGCAGGACTCGCGTTTCCTCCTTGTCTCTTGCGAGTTCTCTCGTTTTGAAAGCTCTCCGTACGCGACACTCTCTCGAAGAGACGAGACCTTTCAATCTCGTAGAAAAAATCGCGACACACTCGTACCCTGTGGCCACCTTTCGATCCGTACGAGTTGCCGCTTAGCAGCCACCGTATGTAACATCTGCTTCGTTTCATCAATCTCTTTTCCATCGTCGGATCGACCTGGTATTGAAGCTTCTTCGATCCCCCACTCCCCGATTCGATTAACGGTTTTTTCAGATAATTTCCTTTGTTCCCAGAGTGAACTACGGCTACTCTTGCCGATTATGGATGAACATCGCTTTCGTGCTACGAGCTGGTAGCCTCACAGCTTTAGGTATAACGGCAGTTTACGATGGCCGTTCCGGGATATTTTCGAGTTTACTCTCGTAAATATATTCTTCGCGATTCCTCGCGATATTGAGCGCAGCCAGGATATTGAATCTAAGGGGAGGGAAATTTCACTGCATAGCTTTAAAATATGCCTGATAAGCTTGATCAAAGTATTCATTGAATTCGAACGTTCGAATAGTTCGCGCGATTAGCATTCACCGCGGCCGTGATGGTTTATTTATTCTCGGTGATTAATTTTTAGTAAATTCTTGGTAGCGAGTTAATGGGCCCAGGATTTTGAATAGTATATGTAAATTTATGTGCATTGATTCGCCAGCGGAAATTTCAATCTTCCTCCAAAGGGGGTAATTTCATTCCCCTTTACCGAGCGATGGTAAAAGTCGTTTCACGGACGACCTGCTTTCTTTTCTCATTTCTTTTTTTCATTTGCGCGTAAAGTTTCATAGGTCTAATTTTCTTTGAAATTTCCGGGTTCTGAAGCTAATAAGTACAGTCGGCCGCAGAAGTCTGAGTGCATCTGCAAATTTCGAACACAAGGATTTTGATTAGTTTGTCAAAGTTTGTACAGACTTCGGCAGAGCAACGATGTTTATTGAAAATCAGTCTAGCGTGTAATTAACATTTCGTCCGCTAAATTGTACAGAATATGCTTTTATTACTATTACGATTGTAACTAGAAAAATTTTTATATTATTCGCTTTTATAGATTCAAATTCTTTATAATTTTAAAATTAAATTGCAACTTTTATTTACGATTAAATTATTTTTGTAATTTAAATTTTGTCATTATGAGATTTAATAGATTCTTTTGAAAAAAATTGTAATTTAAACAAATTTTAAACAAATTGTAATTTTTTGTAATTTAAATTTTGTCATTATAAGATTTAAACAAATATGAGAAACACCGTCAATATTTTAGAAATTGTACAATTCTGATAAAAACTGATTAATTGTTCTCCATAAAATTTTCGAAATCTTTCAAATATTTGAAATTTGATGAATGCACATACTGCTCAGAAGTTTGAAGTTTTCAGGAACTTTCAGAGGAAATAATGATTTTCTTAAGCTTAGGATTGAAATATATTTCTTTTTCCTATCTTCTGGTATTGAAATTACATTTAACTAATTATATTTAAAAATGATAGTTACAATTACAAGACATACTTTCGCAGAAAATTGATTTTCTCGAATTTGAAAATGAAAAGAAATTGCTCCAAACTTCTGAACGAGAGTGCAGACTTTCGTGGCCAACTGCGTACGAAAGTAGAGCGAAGAATTCGGCGAATTTGCATTTTCGTACGTTCAGCTTTCGCGATGCGAAATTTAACGTTTCATTCCCAGGAATGGTATTATGCGTGTAATTCGGCGTGTTCTCTCATTTGCAGCGATATATTGCGATCTTAATAGGCGCATAATATTGGTTGTTGTATTTAATGCGAAAATGGGAAATCGAAAAAAGAAAAAGTTCAACAGTTTCGTTCCAATCTACGATTGGTATTTGTTCGGTAATGGTTTCAAACTCCGTGCCGCAGCAATTTTCAGCGAATGAAAATCGATGATACACAGAATTCCGTGAAGTTGTTTAATAGATTGCGAAATCTATGGGAACCGAAAACGAGATGTGCTGATGGGAAAATCGCTGATTTATGTACATTCAAAATGATCAGAGAGTTATTAAAGAGAAATTAAAAGTAATTTTTTAATCGCGAATTTATATCGTTTCCGCTGTTCAAAGATTCGCAACTTTTTGTGCAATTGTATTAATAATGGTTAGAATGGTTTTTAAATCTCTCGACAAGATTATGTTTTTTTATTCGATAATTTTTTTTTAATCAATAACTCTGTCACCGATGACTTCTGCTGAATTCTATTCGTGCAGAAACTTTCTACAAGTAAACAATGTTACAACAAGTAGGAACTATTAATTCTGTTGCGATTTTCTATCCTATTGTATTTTATATCTCTGTCTGTTCTGTATCTTGCTTTAGTTACGACACGAAAGCTATTTTGAAAGAGTTTCGCGAGAAAATCTTCGGCGCGCAATTTCAAGAAGAAGTAATTCGAAATTTGAACGGAAACAACGAGAACGAGAATGCAAGAAATAGGAACGAACTAGAACTTCTAGGAACTGACGCTCGCTGCTTGAAACTTCAAACTTAATTTCAAAAACTTAATTTCGGAGGTGAGATTCGAAAGTAAGGCTTGAATCTCCTTTCTTTGCGAGTGAAAATTTAGTCTTCAATACAAAAGGGATACCACGTAAAGGCCTAACGACAGGAAAATGAGGTTCGACTCAAACATCGCAACAGGCTTAACAGTTGCTTGAAAAGTGAACTAGAAAGAAAATCGATAAGAAAGGAACTTAGACGTTATCTTGGGAACCAGAACATTTCACACTCGTCACAGTCGACTTTCGTATTTCTTCGTCGTCAATGATACAGGCAGGTTCTCTCGTAAAATGGC